TGTTTTAGCTCCGTCCACTGACATGCCCCCAAACCACCCCGAATACTTATCACTCTAAACAAGAACTGTATATCAACTGTGTAAATATATCCTCAAGTAATGTTCTGTAGCCCAGAGCTGCACCCACACTCCTTCTACTCATTTTTTTTTCTTATGTCAAATTCTGTCTTTTAGAGATATTCTGAAGCCACCAGTGGGAATTAGCTACTGTCCTTCAGGAAGCAGAATTGTATAGTTGTGACAGGATCTTAGAGCCTACAAGCTATAAATATTTACTAGTTAGCCCTTTACAGAAAATATTTGTTCTTTATTGCACAAAGTTTATATATATTCATTTATTGCCTGAGTGCTTATTAAACAGTTATTATATATCAGGTACTAGGCTCCTACTTTCTATTTAAGAGTCTTTCAGATAGGGGTGCCTGGGTGGTTCAGTGGGTTATGCCTCTGCCTTCGGCTCAGGTCATGATCCCAGGGTCCTGCGATCGAGCCCCACATTGGGATCTCTGCTCAGCGGGGAGCCTGTTTCCCCCTCTCTCTGCCTGCCTCTCTGCCTACTTGTGATCTCTCTCTCTCTGTCAAATAAATAAGTAAAATCTTAAAAAAAAAAAAAGTCTTTCAGATAAATGAAAGAGGTAGATAACTAATTAAAATGCTCACTGATAAGTGTTACATTTGGGGCAAAAATAGGTTAGAGTGTGAGCATAACTGTAAGGAACTAACCCAGAATTGAGGAGAGGGCACCATAACCAGGGAAGACTTCCTTATGAAAATAGTATCTAAGTTAATATTGAATGATGATCGGGTGGTAGTGAGGCAAAGAGGGAGCAAGCACAGCAAATATAAAGGCCCAGAGAAAATTAAGGAAATGCAAGTATTTCAGAGCCCACAATGTAAAAAGGTTAGCAAAGGTTTAGAGATAGTTACATCAGATTATTGGCAAGAGTAATGGATGTTAGAATGTTCTTAAATTAACTAAAATAGTTATAAGCTGGGCCACTGGACAAAGGCCAGAAAATGCAGGCATCTGGTGTGTTGTGGGGCAGAAGGCAGGAAGTGATGGTTGTGAAAGGGAAGCTGCAGCACTACATAAATTTGGGTCATGGAAGAGGGTGATAAGATATGGGTCGAGGAGTTGCAGGACAAGCCAGGGACTCTCTCTGACTTGGACTAGGAGAAGTGGTCTTGCTAGTAGTGCTCAGGGTCTTTAAGGATGTTTTCATGTTCTGGCTGTCTCTAGGAACCTGCCCTTTGGTTGCAAAGCTGTGCCTCCATTGCAAATGAAGATAAAAATTGTCCTCTTCATTAATCTTCCCAAATCCCTCTGTACGCCCCAGCTGAAATTCTTTTGGAGATTATAAAGCCTTTTATTTCAGGATTAGAGATAAAGATGCCTTCTATTTTAGCTTAAAATGCAAATGTCCATTAAAGTTAAAATACTAAGATTGATTCAGACCAAAGTACATCAGACAATGAGTCAACAGATATCAGACCTTTTCCAGTTTTAATTTATGGGACTTTGTGGGATTTAGGGAAGGGAACTCTTCACTTATTAAGGCAAGTGCTGTTTATTCTCAAAAGGAGCTAGAGAGGAATCCCTAAAAGCTAAGAAAATATTTGTTGTCAGATGTAGGAAATATGTGTCCTTTTCTTTCAGTTGAGGTTAGGGAGGAAAAAATTTTCCTTGCCCCTCCTAGGATCCCTGGCTGGGTCTGAAGATGAAACTGACCTGAAGAAGTGACCAGAGCAGGAAGCTTTGTACCTTTTAGACAAAGAAGTAATACATTTCTGACAAATTGACAAGACAAAGGGATTTGGGCTGGGGGTACTAAATAGTGAAGTAAATAGGAAGATAAGGGTAAGTTTAACAAGGTTTGTTTATATAGGCTTCTTGGCCTTAAATTCCATTCCTGGTGATGAAAATGTCTTCCTTTGGGGCATCTTGGTGGCTCAGTGGGTTAAAACCTCTGCCTTCGGCTCAGGCTCAGGTCGTGATCCCAGGGTCCTGGGATCGAGCCCCACATCTGGCTGTCTGCTCAGTGGGGTGCCTGCTTCCCCCCTTTCTCCCCCTCCCCCGCTTCTCTGCCTAGTTGTGATCTGTGTCAAATAAATAAATAAAATCTTAAAAAAAGAAAGAAAGAAAGAAAGAAAGAAAGAAAGATAGATGTCTTCTTTCTCCTGGTGCAGGGAGGGCTCTATTTACATGGCAGTTTCTTTTTTGTTTTGTTTTATTTTGTTTTCTTAGATTTTATTTGTCAGAGATAGAGCACACAAGCAGGGGGAGAAATAGAAATTTCTATAATAGAAATAGAAATAGGCAGAGGGAGAAGGCGTCCTTATATGGCCGTCTTGTGAATGTTTCAGGTAAGAAAGGTGAGAGGGTGAGCTGCAGAGAGACCTTCCTCCTTCTGCCATTTTTTTCAAATTCCTTCAGCTTTATTCAATACACCAACATGCTATATATAGGGGGTAGCATGTCCTGAACCCCATAAAAGGTATATCTTGTTTTGTGAGATACATTTTTTTTTAAATAATTGAGAGCATTTTGGGGTATATATTACTTTCTGGAGAAGGACTCTTTTCCCCTATCCCTAGTTTATTGACATTTGTTTTGAAAATTTCATTTAATTTTCAGATTTTTTGGGGGGGGGGCGTGATTCTTCTCTCCCAACAAAAAGTTCTAGATTGGTGTACCTTGTATGCTCCCCATTTCCCTTACCACTCTATGCATACCTTTTCATTTGTTAGTTTTCTGCCCCCTCACTAGAGTGCTGGGACTATTAGTTTTGTTCACTGTGTTATTTCCCATTTCCCAACTCAGTGTCTAGCTCATAGTTAAATGTTCAGTAAATATTCTTGAATAAATAAATGGTAAGAGTATTAAAGTTTTGTTTGTATTTCTTTGATGTAGTTGGTAATTACAAGTAACCAATTGCTTTGTATATGTCAGTAATAAGATAAAAAGCCACTCTGCACTATAAGCATTTTTTATTTCATTTTAATTTTTTTAAAGTAAACTCTAGGCCCAACATGGTGCTTGAACTCATGACCCTGGGATCAAGACTCACGTGCTCTACCAACTGAGCCACCCAGGCACCCCTATACAGCACTTTTTAGGAGACACAGTACACCTGATTAAAAAGAAAAGTTCATATTATATAAAAAATTCTATTAGATGAAATCTTGCCATTTGTGACGACATAGATGGAACTAGAGGGTATCATGCTTAGCGAAATAAGTCAATTGGAGAAAGACAACTATCATATGATCTCCCAGATATGAGGAAGGGGAGATGCAACATGGGGGGTTTGGGGGTAGGAAAAGAATAAATGAAACAAGATGGGATTGGGAGGGAGACAAACCATAAGAGACTTTTAATCTCACAAAATAAACTGAAGGTTGCAGGGGAGGGGGGTAGGGAGAGGGTGGTGGGGTTATGGGCATTGGGGAGGATATGTACTATGGTGAGTGCTGTGAAGTGTATAAACCTGGTGATTCACAGACCTATACGCCTGTGGTTAATAATACATTATATGTTAATAAAAAATTCTATTAGAACATTGTTTTTTTAACATATATTGTATTGCATCATGCTTCCAGACAAATTTTATGAGAGTGTGTGTGTGTGTATATACTTTAAAACTGGTCTTGCTCTATTTTTCTAAGGGCATTGACATTAAATTTGCAAAATACAATGCTCTGAAGAGAAGTATTTCCAAATATTAAGGATTATTTCAATTTATTATGTAAAAAAGGTGATTTTTTTAAGAAATGAAATTTCTAATTAAGTAGTCATTTTGGGAGTTTTACGTAAGATGATATTATTTTTATTTTATTTTTTTTAAGAGATCTTATTTATTTGTCAGAGAGAGAGAATGTGAAAGCATTAGAAAGGAGAGTGGCAGACAGAGGGGAAAAGCAGGCTCTCTGCAGAGCAAGGAGCAGGAGGAGGGACTGGATCCCAAGACCTGGGATCATGACCTGAGCTGAAGGCAGAGGCTTAACACTGAGTCACCCAGGCATTCTAAGATGCTACCATTTTTTTTTTTTTTAAGATTTTATTTATTTATTTGACAGAGATCACAAGCAGGCAGAGAGGCAAGCAGAGAGAGAGAGAGAGAGAGAGAGGGAAGCAGGCTCCCCGCTGAGCAGAGAGCCCATTGCAACCCTGAGATCATGACCTGAAAGGAAGGCAGATGCTTAACCCACGGAGCCACCCAGGCGCCCCAGATGCTGCCATTTTTAAAAAACCTCTTTTTCTAGTAAAATAAAAACAAACCTATGTTTAACATTCATAAATGTACCTAGGGTTGGATTTATTCTGAAGATTGCTGGGGTTGTAAAAGCTTGAGATTGTTCTAACAAAAGACACATTAGGAGAAGATTTTAAAAAATTTTTCTTTGCTCTCTCTTAATCTCCCACCTCCACATTCCACTGACTTTATTGAAAAGTTGTTATATTTCAACATTTTTACTAGCAATGGTTTTTGGCAGTGTCTGCTTAGGTCAATTAACTGCTTCCTTAGGTTTGTAAACTGTGCGTCTGTATTTATAAACACGAGGGGCTGTTTATATCCTCTGCAGAGCATGTGGGCAAAGTGACAGAGGAATAAAAACGGAACTCTTCCCCCTCCCCCACCATTTCAAAAAAGAGATATAATCCCAAGGAACACTCAGCGCGCGGGAGGGGTAATTGATGGATATAAAACGAAACTAAATTCTGTATGGCCACTGAAGTGCAGAAACGGAGAACTTCAGAGATACTGATGCGGTATCCCACCCAGAACTGTTTTTGAAGACGTCCCCCAGGCCCTGGTCTACCTTCCCCCAGCAGCACTGCACCGCAAGTCGCCTGAGCACTCCCGACGCCCACGAGCGAACGGGGCCGGTGAGGACGTGGGGGCGGGCCCCCGGAGGAGGTAACCAGAAACCACACCTCCCAGAGTGCAGTGCGCAGGCTCCGGCGCGCGCTCCGCTCGCAGCCCCAGAGGCCGCCGCTCTGGAGGCTGAGCCGTGAGGACGCCGGTCGCCGGCCGGGGCTCTACGGGGCCGCGCAGCAGAGCGCGCGTCCATCTGGTGCTCGCGCGGGGCTAGTGCGGCGCCGCTGGGTGCTGCGGGAAGGCGCTGGGCTGCGGGAACCTGGCAGGGCAGCCGCAGCCTTGGCGAGGCCGGCAGGAACCGAGCGGAGGGACGAGCCGGGGACCGAGGTAACTGCGCTCATTCTCCGTCGCTCCTCTCTTCCCTTTGTGCGATGCTGTCCGTTCACGCCGAGCCCTCCCTTACCCCAGTCCGAAACCCTAACGGCACCCGGGCTTGCGCCCCCGGCTCGCGGAAACTCCAGCCCTACGAGCAGTAACTAAAACTCCACAGCTGAGAGGGTTTGGGGCCCATTAAACCGCTGTACGTTTTCCGTCGCTCCGGTTGCGGGGGGTGGGGAACGGGGGACGGGGTTGCATTTCCCGGAGGAAATCCCCCGCCTCTGGCTCTGTCAGCCGCATCGGTGGCCCCTTTGGCTCTCTGCTCTCGGTCCTTCGAAGAGGAGAAGGACAGGCAGATGTTTGGTGGGGTGGAAGGAATCAGCAGGAGCCGGGCGGCCGCGGCCGTCCTGTGGGCGCGCGGCAGGTGGGCTGTCTCCTGGACCTGCGGCACGGGGACTCGCCTCCCGCCGGGGGCGGGCCTGCCCAGGGGGCTTGTCGCGGGTCGGGGACTGGCCGGCCGGAGGGGCTCGCTGCCTGTCGGGGACTTGCCTCTCCGTGGGGCTCGCTGCTGGTCGGAATTGCTGTTGTCGGGGGTTTGCTGCCCGAGCCAGGTGTCCCTTCCGTGGTGGTGGAGACCTTGTCCAAGAGTGCCTCCTGGTGTGACACCAGCAACTGCAGCCCCTTTCAGAAGGCGCAGCTGCTCCACGGAGTTTGTTCTACTGCCCCAGAACCCGCTGTTTCTTCCTTCCACTCAGTTATGGGCTGAGTTAATTTGCTGGTTTCTTCAGGCAGGGCTATTAGTCTACAGAGTTGGCAGTTTTCTAGCCCCGGGCTTGTCCTTTACTGGATTTGCACCGTCGTAGCGTTTGCACACCTGGGTGTGAAAAGCGTTTTACGTATATTCCCGCTGGGCAGGGTTGAATCAGATGACTTTGATGAAGTTGAACCACTCTCAGTATTCCTTTTAATCTGCTGTAATAGCATAACTATTTTTGGCCCTTTATGCTAATGTTACCACTGTGGGTGGTTACCACGTTTGGAAGACACTTTGGGGAAAGCTTCTTGAAAAACCTGGGTTGACACAAGTATGCTATCTACTAGTTGCACTTTTTCGTTTCTATTTGCATTGTTCTTCTTTATTGTAAGTCGATAATTGTTTCATTTCTTGCTGTTCTTCATGCTCACTCTATGAGGATACCCTTTCTGCATCTCCCTCGAATCCTGACCCCGGCAGAGGATCGACTTGGGGGAACTGAGAATCTCTGCTTGGCGGTGGCTTTTTTCATTGGCTCCTGCTTTTCCTCCTCCTTCCTACAGGCACTTCCTTTAGTTTGTCAGTCAACCCGTGACCCGCTTAGACTTTTAGTCCCTTGCTATATTGCCATTGCCTTTTAAAATATCAAATAACAACATAAATATAAAAAGGAGTCTTAAGATAACTATACTCACATGTGCACTTAGTTTCATATTAACATTTAAAACTAATTCTTTTAGCATTTGATAAGATTACTGTTAATGGTTTTTTAAATGATTATATATGCTGTAATAATTGCACGTTCTGTATTCTGGCAGGAAACTTAATTCACAGGGTAATTTTTAGAAAACAATTATTTCCTCATTTGTTAAGAAAATGAGGTGAATTTTGACACATCCACCCCAGCCCTTTTGCAAAATAGAGTTTATATTTAGGGCAGTTTTAGGTTCACAGCAAAATTGAGTGGAAGGTACAGATTTACTCTGCCTCCATATGCCCCCTGCCTGGCTCCACATAGGCACAGCCTCCCCCACCATCAAAATGCCCACATAAAAATGGCACATTTGTTACAATCAATGAATCTACATTGACAGATCATTATCACCTAAAGTTTATAGTTTACAGTAGGGTACTGTATATCCTATGCATTTAGACAAATGACACTTTAAAAAAAAATCAAGATTTTAGGAGTTGTAGAGAATGGAAATGAGTATTGTTATTTAAAAAATGTCTTACAAGGAATATTTTGAACATCCTAAAAATTAATTTCTAATAGTTTTTGTGTTTTAAGAAATGGATGTTTAAACTTTCAGTTTCTTAGATTTACATTTTCAGGAGTTATTTATTTTTGTATATTAAGAATTGAAGAGATGAGTAAGAAGGAATGCTTCATAAAATAACAAAATGTCCTTATTTTTCAGTCCTAAAACTCATTAGCTTGACCCTTTATTTTTCTGAAAACCATGTTTTATGTTAACCAATGAAGTGAAAGGAAATCAAACATTTTAAATACACTAATTTTTCTTTATTGATGCCAAGATATATCTACGATAGAATGACCCGTTAGGCTTTCTTTTTTTTTTTTTTTTTCTTTTTAATCTGTTTTCTCTCTCTTGAGTGTTTTTTGTGGAAGCATCAGGATATAGTAATGTACTAAGTAAGCTCAGTTCTGGAACTAGACAACTCAGTTAGAATCCCAAGTCTCCATTTGTTGGCTGTATGACCAGGTCAAGTTATTTTCTGAACCTCCATTTTGTTAGCTATAAAAGGGAAATAAAGGTATTAATTGTTATAATAATGTGAAATCATCCTATAAACTGTAATACACTGTAATATTTATTGATATCACTAGTTACATGTTGTGTTTTAAAATGCTGCCAGTATATTTTCAGGTGAATACTGCTTAAGTAAATACTATCAAACTTTTTTTTTTTTTAAGGGCTGTTTTTACATGAGACTTCATTGTCTGGTTATGAATGATTTAGTTGGTTCTTATGAATCAGAGGTAAAATTATGAAAGAGAGTCAAAGGTGCCTTGAGAAAATTTCTGCTTCATCTGTCTGGTTCTTAACCTAGATCTTAACACGCCTATGGGCGTGTCCATAGTCTTAAAAGAATCTGAACTCTGTATAACTGTACATTGTGGGGAGAAGACCCATAGCTTTCTTTTCTTTTCTTTTTTTTTTTTTTTTTAAGATTTTATTTATTTGACAGACAGAGATCACAAGTAGGCAAAGAGGCAGGCAGAGAGAGAGGGAGGGAAGCAGGCTGCCTGCTGAGCAGAGAGCCCGATGTGGGACTCGATCCCAGGACCCTGGGATCATGACCTGAGCCGAAAGCAGAGGCTTAACCCACTGAGCCACCCAGGCGACCGACCCATAGCTTTCAACAGCTGTTCAGAAGGGGTTCGTGGACAACCCCAGCAAAGGTTCTAAGAACTATTAACATAAGTTATCTAGGCAGGCTTCTTTACTAAACATTTTGCAGATTATTATTATTATTATTATCTTTAAAGTAGGTTCCACGCCCAGCGTGAAGTTCAACTTAAAAAAAACCCTCAAACTTACAATCCTGAGAGCAAGACCTGAACTGAGATCAAAAGTTGGATATTTAGCAGACTGAGCCATCCAGGCATCCTTTTCATATTATTTTTAATATTAGGGGTTTTTTTTGAACCACCATGAGTGCCTGTTTTCTTCCAGAACTAGAGGCTGATATTAATGTTATCCTATGTTCATATGAACAATAGTGCTACTGCTTATATATGGAGATGACGCCACTGATTATTGACACCATTATTTTTAGGCAGATAGTGTCCATTCCTCCCCACCTGTCTTGATGGGCAATAGAATACTTGGCAAGGAATGATACCCTAATACAATCCAGCATGTTAGAATATTATTTTGAAATGCTAAAAGATAATTTGGTTTCCTTAACCTAAAATTTGAACATTTTTTCTTTTCTCAACAGAACACCAAATGCTAAAGAAAATTAAATATTTTGTCTTACAAGCTAGATAATGATATTTATGTAACGTATTTGTTGTTTTATGATATTTCTTCCTACATAGCACAGAGTGTAATGTTTTATTCTTGATTAATGGTTATTTTGACTTTCAGAATTTCTGGTTCAGAAATAAAATTGACAATCTGCTTATGAAGATTAGATTATAATTGTAATTTTAGGACATTGAAGATTAATCTTACCTGCATTTGGTGAATTTTAGAGTTAGGTTAGAGTTCTAAGTTTGGGTTCATTCTTGTAAGAGTTTGGAAGTGAGCTACATCAAACTACCCTATGTTTCTTATTAGTATTAGGTTGAGCTTTGGGGCTTTACAGTACGAAGCCAGCTTCTCTTCTGGATCAGTTACCAGTAGCATTCATAGGGCTGGAAGAGTATAAGGTGAATGAGGTAATGCAGCACAAACTTAAGAATAAACCAACGCAGCGGTGCATGGGTGGCTCAGTTGGTTAAGGAACTGCCTTCGGCTAAGGTCATGATCCTGGAGTACTGGGATGGAGTCCCGCATCAGGCTCCCTGCTCAGCAGAGAATCTGCTTCTCCCTCTGACCCTCTCCTCTCTGATGCTTGCTCTCTCACTCTCTCTCTCAAATAAATAAATAATCTTAAAAAAAAGAATAAATCTATGCAGTGGAGTAATGTCTTTTGGTCTTTTTTCTCGAGGTATTTTTTATTTCCCCCTTTAATATTGGTCAGTATTTTTTTTTTTGTCTTTTTCTTTTTAAAGATTTATTTTTTTTATTTGAGAGAGAGAGCATGCATGAGAAGGGTGAGGTCAGAGGGAGAAGCAGACCCCCCCGCTGAGCAGGGAGCCCGATGTGAGACTCAATCCCAGGACTCCAGGATCATGACCTGAGCCAAAGGCAGTTGCTTACCAATTGAGCCACCCAGGCACCCCTGGTCAATATTTTCATTTGAACTGCAAAGCTTTTCAAAGCTCAAGTTCCAAAACAATACTTACTTGCTTTTTATAAAATTAGTCTGAGCCCTATATAAATCTCACAGATCAATTAGAGGTGAATGCCAGCCAGCATTGAGTAATACTTTATGTGTACAAGATAAATCACTATGCTGCGTCTTTAGTTACTTTAATGCTGAGGATTGCTTAATACTTTAATAATGAAAGTTTGAGTTAAATTAATTGGACATGATTTATTTATTTATTTATTTTTAAAAATATTTTATTTATTTATTTGACAGGTAGAGATCACAAGTAGGGCAGAGAAGCAGGTAG